ACTTGCACTGAGCCCCAGATGTCTCCTAGGTATTGCAAAAGCATCTTTCATTATTCCCGTGGTTTTCAGTGCTCAGAAATGCAGTATTTCAGTGAGAGAGAACTGCAGGGTGATGTTTATGGTCTTGTAACTGAAGCACAAATCACATTCTGTGTAATCCTCCCAGTCTTGCCCTCCTAAACAGGGGCCATTACATTTGCAAACACCCCTCCTGTTCACTCTCATTTCACAGGGCTGCCACAGCTTGGATCTACCCCAGATCGGATCTACCCCAGATCTATGCAAAGTGAGGAGAAAATCAGTTTTGTTCTCTATTTAACAAACGCCAGATGCAGAGATGCTCTCAAACAATGAGATTGTCTCTTTTTCCAGTAGGTGCTTCATGGCCAGAAGTCCTGCCCAGGGCTATTGGCTCTGCACACAGGCACTGGGCAAGGTGTCAGCACCAGTTTAATCACAAGCTGCAAGGGGAAATCAGAGGGGGAACAACAGCCTCCTGTCCTTGGCCCACCAGGACTCCTTGCCATCAGGCATTGTGCATCACGGGAAGTGTGGAGCATCTGTCCTCTGCCATGTGTCGCTGCTCTGCCCCTCTGCCCTGCTATCTGTGCTCAAGGTATGGCAGTCGTTTTCCTGCAAGAAGAAAAGGATGCTCAGATCTTCCCCAGAGTGTGTCTGTAGGTACCTGCTGCAGTCCCACCCCTGAGCAGGGTGCACCATGCTGGCTGTGAGGAGTTTAACCTGGTCTGGCACCTGTGTTTGCTGTGACACAGCAAACACCCTGAGCCTTGCCATGATTCAGAGCATAATGTGTGGGAGCCATCTGGTCCCGTAGCTGAAGGAGCAAACGGAAAATCTGATGGAAGCACAAACAGTCACAATGAGAGACTGAAAAGATGTGTTGATATTCCAGGCAGAAGTCTCCTTCTGTGGGGGGTAATCTCATCATCCATTGCCTCTTTCTTACTCCTTCTCTGGAAACCTGCTGACAGCCAGGTTGTACTCTCAGCTCTGGGAGTACTCAGACCTCTGGGATGCTAAAAATATGTTTCATGTGCTTGAGCATACCTCCCGAGACAAAAATTTGCTCAGCAGCCAGCTGTGCAGGGAGCAAGATGTGCAAGATGCTTGCATGCAGCACAGCATGTTTGGGGGAGCTTGGATTGATCCAGAACTTTGGCTGGTTTAAGATGCACTCTCAGTTGGGAACAGTCACTGACACTGTCCCGCTGCTGTGCAGAATGACAGCTTGTGGCTGTGACAGACTGAATGGAGCTTCACCTCAGCTTGCCTAGATATTCTCAGCCCTGCAAAGGAGATGTGTTTGGGAGAGACTGCAGCACCAGGGGAGAAACAAGGAACTCAGTGCAGTGGATGGGGTAGCGCTTGGGATGGCTTTGACATGGCACAGTTGGTGCATAGCTTGTCCTGGATACTGGGTTAATAAAAGTGGTTTCATTGTATTTTGCAGCCAGTCTGGTTTTCCCTCATTGTGACCCTGGTTTCTGATGTTTGGAGGGCACAGGGAAGGCAGGGAGACAGAAGATGCCTATTTTAGCACTCCTCTGCAGGGAAGGCACACGTTTCAGACAGGTACACATTTGTTTCCTCTGACACCAAATTAATGGGAATTGATGTATTGATTCTACAATTCTTCTAAAAATTGCTTCAAGTTTTGGCTTGCTTTCAAGCTGGTTAAATGCAATGTGCACACAGTTCAAGACAGCTATTTAATTATTCTAATATTAATATACTTTAAAAAAGTCAGCTCCCTGTGAAATGCAGAAGATAAAAAGCACGGAGAGCAGCCCAGTAAGGCTCTATATCCTGGGTGGTGAGGGCTGCAGGTGAGGGGGGGTTCTGTCCTTCTGTCCCACTCAGGTGAGACCCCAGCTGCAGAGCTTCCTCCAGCCCTGGGGTACAACAGCAGAAGGATTTGGAGCTGCTGGAGCAAGTCCAGAGGAGGTCACAGAGATGCTGCAAAGGCTGGAGCCCCTCTGCTCTGGAGCCAGGCTGGGAGAGATGGGAATGTTCAGTTTGGAGAAGAGAAGGCTCCAGGGAGAGCTAAAAGACCCTTCCAGTGTCTAAAGGGGCTCCAGGAGAGCTGGAGAAAGACTTTGTACAAGGGCCTGGAGGGAGGGGACAAAGGGGAATGGTGTCCCCTGCCAGAGGGCAGGAATGGATGGGATATTGGGAAGGAATTGCTCCCTGTGAGGGTGGGCAGGCCCTGGCACAGGGTGCCCAGAGAAGCTGGGGCTGCCCCTGGATCCCTGGAAGTCTCCAAGGCCAGGTTGGGCACTGGGGCTTGGAGCAGCCTGGGATAATGGAAGGTGTCCCTGCCTGTGGCAGGGGGGCTGGAGCTGGATGATCTTTAAGGTCCCTTCCAACCCAAACCATTCTGGGGTTCTGTGATTCCACTATAAAATAATAACCTGAGTTAGTAATTTGTCAATCCCAAGTAAATCTACTGTCTTTATGACTATTCCTATATTTGACTAAATAAATAGTGGCAAAGTAATCACCTCAGGTACTCAGCTGTTGTATTTGTAGACTATGGGAATATCTCTGTGCCACGTAGGCTCCTGGTCCTAAAAAGAGAAATAGCTTGTATTGGGAATGGAGTAAAAGTCCTGTATTTTTTTCTCTGATCACTCTGTCTCTGCCTTTATGATCTCACTAGGACAGTGATATGACAGATGCTTCTGTATTTTGAGTGGCAACATGACTCGTCCAAATATTTGAAGCCATCTTTGTGTTTCGTTTATTTTCTGGCAAAACAGCATCCATCTGCAGTTTAAGAATAGAACATATAAAAAAATGTATAGAACTCCAAAGCACAGAACACAGAATTTCTGAGCAAAATTCTCTTCTCAGTTACATTTACATAACTCTGGAGCAGAGGAAGAGTATCTTCCTCTTTCTTGTGGTTACTCTGAGCCCCTCTTCATCTCATTGTGTCAGAGCCATAGGATCTACCATACACGGCTAAATCCCATTTCGTCACAACTGTTGCAATCTCCTAGACAAAATTACAATCTCAGAGGAAGTACATAAAGATGCATGGGCCTCAATATCCTAAAAATATGCTGCTGTCAGTTGTTCTCTGTTGTAGTTTTCCATGCAAATGAAAATACCATGGTGTGCAGAACTGCTGAACTATCTGGAGCAGATTTTCCACACACACAAGAGCAGAGAATCTGCATTATTTGGCCAAGCTCCTTTATAAAACATCATGTTCAGTAGCTCTTTCTTTAAACAAAAAAGGGTTTGCACTAAATAGTTTGATATTTATTTTGTGTAACTCTGTTCCTTGGCTGTCCATGCTATAGAAATGCTGTTATGCTCCAAGAAGACAGATTGCCTGGGCTGGAAGCCCCAGCCCTGATCCAGGGAAGCAAATGGCTTCCTTACAATGATTATGATGAATATAATTACTATTCAGTATATGGGGCAATTGTTTTTGGTGTTTAAAACAGAACAAAACAAAACAAAACAAAACAAAGCAGGTTTGGAAAGGAAAACAGAACGTTAAAAAAAATTGTTAAATAGGAAGTGGTTGACTTTCAGGAAGTAACTCCATATGCAGATTCTGCTATCCAGTGTTTCCAGTCATCAGAGAACGGAAAGAAAAAATGCCATTAAATACCCCAGTGGTCCTTTAAAAATAATGCAGCTCCCTTTCTGTAGGTACAACATTTCACATCTCCTGTCCAACAGCTGGTGGAGTCAAAGGCCAAGCGAGCAGGACGTGGAATGCAGAGCTTCAGTGGTTACTGAAGGCAAAACCATCTAAAGCTGTAGCAGATGTTCCTTTGCTTCCTGTCTGCTTATCAGCCCTGCAAAGGCACTTGGGTTTGTGCTTGTTGTGCCAAGGGTAGCTATGGAGATCTCGTACAAGCTGTGCAAGAGTGATACGCTGAAGGATCTTTATGTATTTGGTTATGAATGATCAAGAAAACAGTATGGTTTCTAAGAACTCACAATTTGCCACGTGCACATCAGTCGTTCCCCTCGCACGACACGAAGATGACATTTCAAATTAAAAAATAACTTAAGAAATACATTTCTGCAGTGAAGATGTTCATTTGGCCTCGGTGTGCTCATGTTTTATACATTGTTTCTAGTACACCATGAAATAAAGAATAGGATATCCAACCAACTGTATTTCTCCAAGGCCTTGAAAGTGCTCCAGAAGAGTTTTTAACTGTCAATTTAAATATCACTGCCACTAATCCTTTTTATTGCACCTCAGCTCAGTTTTAATTCCTGTTTATATTCATTATGAGCTCCTGTAAATTATAACTTTAATATGAATGACTGTGTGCAAGTGTTAATGCAGTGCTCCATCTATTCTAGGGCTTTGAGATAGTTTAATGAGACTGATTTTTACATTGATGCATTTAAATTAATATGCATTCCCAACACAGTCAAGACCCAGGGCAATTAAGTTCATTACTTATTAGATAGGAGTTCTTTTCCTCCGTGAAATAGAAAATTACTTTTTATTTTTACTTTTATGTAAATTCTAGCCCAGATGTTGCTTTAAAGGGTAGCAGAAAAGGATGGATTTGGAATGGTTCTTTTGCCCATGTTGAAACTGGAAAACAAAAGTGACAGTTTTGACTTATCACTGGTAGACATGGTTATAGATATTCCTGTGGGATACAAAAGAGGAACAGTGGCTCTGCTGTTGTTTGCCAAACTTCATGTAACACTGTCCAGCAAAAAGAGCACTAGGTAACCATTATTGCACCTTTAAATCGTTGACAGCATTGCAAATTCGTGTTGACCTGGAAAATGCAAAGGTGGACAGAGTATTCCTTCTAGGGGTGATATTCTGTGTACTGCAACATCATGGGCCAGAGTCCAGGAGGAACTGAAGCCCTTTGGGACAGTGGGTTCCCAGGGAAGTTGTGGAGATTCTTTTGAGAAAATGACCTTCCATATGAAAGTTAGAGACCTAAAATTCAGTCCCCTTCCTGTCCCCAAAGGCACACAAGGACAAGACAATGCATGAAACAAAAGAGAAAAGTTGTTGAAATTAAGATATCAGGACTGTATGCAACAGGCAGATTTGCAGGCAAAGGATGATGTGAAGAATGCAGTGATAGAAACTGCCTGAAGCATCTGGGAAAACACAAGAAGTACGAAGATGAAAGAGAAAAAGAGGGAAAAGGGGACCCAGAGGTCAAATTCGTATGAGTTGGGAATGTGGAGAAGGTGAGCACAATTCTGTGGGTGAGTTCCTGGTAGAGATGCAGTAAATATATTAAAAAAGCAATATATTGGTACTGTGACCGGGTGAGAGAGTTTTTGTTTGAAGTGTTTGAAAATTGAGGTCACAGTATTTACACTTAGACTGTAAGGGGTAGCACAGTTGGAAACAGGATGGATGAGATGGTTTAACAGGGCTTCATTGTAGTCACATTAATTCAGTTTAAATAATTAATTCTCTTTTAAATTGACTCTATTCTGCACACTTGACATTTTGGTAAAGCTGCCATTGCCTGGCCTTCTGGTAAATGCTTTTGCATTTGTTTTCCATTGTTTCCGTCTTGAAAAAAAAAATCCTTGTCACTAACAGGAACCATCAGCAGCATGGAACAAATTGACTTGCCAAGGACATTTCCTCCCATCTCATTATTTGCACTGAAGTACTCTTTTTTTTTGTATCAAGAGTCAGAGTGTGATTTTTTAAAATTTCCATTTATTAAGGTAGTTTTGTACTGTATTATGAGTCAAATTCAAACTTGATTATGTAAATCACTTTCTGTGCACCAACATTTGGTCATACATTTTCCAAGGAGGTGATCAAGCAGTTTAATTAATAATCAATTCACAGTTCTCTCTGCCAACCTCATTATGTAGAACCCCTGACTGTTGCAGGAGAGGGTCTCCCCCAGGTATGAATCAGAGCAGATCCATCACCCTCCCTCTCCTGCTCTTAGAACATTGATTGTGAGCCTCAAGTGGCTGAGATTGAGTGGATCTATAATGTTATTTGGCACAAATTGGGTTAAACAAACAGGTTGTGTATTTTACTTGCAAGGTGATTTGGTTTGTGTTTTCTCTCCCGTCCTTTTTCAGCTCTTGGTTGTGGCTCAGTTGCTAAGAAATTGTTCATCTGCTCTAAACTCCCCCATGGAAGAGGCAGGGCTGTATGGCAAAGGAACACAAACATAATTTTTTGTGAGGGGGTCTGTTGGGGTTGGGACTCCTTCAGGTGAGGTGGAGCCAAGGCTCTGAGAGCTCAGCACAGGGCAGAGCCTGGGCTGACCTACATTCACAGTGACTCACCATGAGATTTGATGCTGCTCCTCTGTGGTGCTGGTTTCTCAGCAGCTGCTGAGGCTTCAAACAAGGCACTCTTACCTAAGCCAATCGATGGATGAGCAGGTGGGACCCAATCTAATGCAGCCAGGATTTGTAATAATAGAAGTGCACATTCCAAAGCTGTTACAGAAGAAAAGAATTTCAGATAATTAGGAGAGGAGTTGGGCAGTGATACAGATTTTAAAAGTACCCAAGATAAAATAACAGATACTAAAAATATCTGTATTGAGATGAAATCCTCATGACTCAGTACTCGAGCCAACTTCCATTCTCTAGGAATTAGCAAGGAAATAATCCAAACAGGCTGGGTCGTGGTGTATTGCCTTACTCTGGGCTTACACTTACACTTAAAGATGTACCTCACACTGAAAATGTCAGACTCAGGTCTGACCTTTCAGGGCAATTGCAAATTTCTTAAAATATGTTCTGTGGTTGTAACTTTTCCCAAAAATTGTGAGTTTATTTCTACCTAGAAAAAATCTAACGAAGAGCAATCTGGACCTTGAAAGGCACTGACAGCAGGACCAGAGATGCATTTTTTGTGACAAGCAGAACATAATTTTTAATACCTATCACTCTCTAGCTAATAACTGAGGAGTGGTCAACCCAGCTTGCAAATAGAAACACAAGAGTGCCATTTCTTCTCCTTTTTCCTACATGAAGTGTTCTCCGACTGGATGCAAAACTTTGAAATTATTGAAGATACTGTAAGCATTAAAAGTATTTTGAAAGAAATGAGTATTTTGAAAAGTACTTTCAGTGCTGCAGAATCTCAGAAAAGCAGAAATCTGTGTTAGGAGAGCTTCAGCTATAATCTGGGTCAGATTTTCAGTGCAGATGTGTCAGATGCAGCTCCTTGGAAAGTCTCCATGGCAGTTGGTGAGAGGAGTGACCCAATGTTTTCTCACCGTGCAGAATTCCCGTTCTGTTTGATGATGTCATGTGCACGAAGCGCTGCCTGCCCTCCCACAGCAGTCCTGTTTCAGCTTGTCTGGGAGAGGAGATTTCGTCTCACAACTTCCAAACAGAGTTTAGCAAATCTCTTTGGTACACCTTGACTGATCTCAATCAGTTTTCAGAATTTTAATGATCTGGTTTTATTTCCAGATAATGACTATTTATGTAAATGAGATGCCTTATAAATAATTACGGAAATTATTCCATAATATTAATTACAGGCTTTATGGTTCAAACACTTATTATACTAAAGGCAAATGGTGCTGGGGATTGTCTTTGAGTTTATTGATTTGCTTACTTTTTACTTAGTTAGTTTTATTTTAACTTGACTTACATATGTTGGGCAGTATTTCCTGAACTAAAACAAGGTGCACTGTGTGCCTGGATATATCAAAGGATATTGAAGGATAATAAAAATCAAAATGCATCATACAGTGGTAGTAGTAAATGGAAACAAAACTTCAGAATGATTTTGTCTAAAAATCAACTGAATGAGTTTTACTCGGAAAATCTCAGCTTAAGTGTTGTTAGCCGTTTACTCAAAAATTAGTCTTAAATTAATTATAATCCTTTGCACTTCTATAGCTGCTTCTCTTGAGAATCTCAGTAGTGTTCTACAAACATTAATTAAGCTTAATAGTACTCCTGAGAAGTGGTTAAGTGATAGATATACTTCACCCACTATGATATAAGCAATCTGTAGAACAAAATACAAAAACTTTAAACAGCAGGACTACACAGGAGTTTAGAGCCTGAAGTATCCCCATCAGGCAAAACTGTGGGGAAGATTTAGCTACATGGAATACAATTGCTTGGCCTGGGCATGATTGGAAGGTGGATATAAAGTGCAAATAATAAAGAACTCTTCACTAGAGATCTCTAGTGAAGGAAAGTGGTTTTCTATGGCCCCACAGTATCATGTGGCGTGGCTCTGGTGATGAATTGAATACTGATTCAGAGGAAAACTGCTATTTGCAGAAATCACCCCCAGATGGGCCAAAGAGCAGGCATCCACATGGAACCTTTAAGGCTGATGCATGAACAGCAGGGATAGCAGTTAAGTCCTCTCACCCCTGAGGGAACAGGAGCTGCTGAAAATAGCAACAAACCAGCAGTATCAGTGTGTACATTTACAGCCCCAGACTGTTATTTTTGCTGGCGAATCTGCATGCACAATTTCCTTCCTGATATTACTCCACAAAGAGCAGCTTTTGTTATCTGGCATTACTGATGACAGCAATACTTAAACCAGGTTAGTGCTGGCACAGACAGCAAGCTAGCTTTGATAGATGCATTAGCATTTGGGCCGTCCTCAAGCAACCCTTCTGCTGTCCCGTGCTCACAAAATGGACTGCAAATATTTGTCTGGGAGCTTCCAGCATCCAGAGATGTGCTCCAGCTGTACACGCGGACTGCCCGCTAACGCCAGGACAACAGGTACCGATGGCACCACAGGCCTGACACCCCAACCCTCACCACCCAGCCAAGCACAACTGCACTGGTTTATCCCTGACTAACACCAAAGGCCATCCCCTGCCTCTCCTACCGTTCCAGAGCTGATAGCTGCTGCCATGCTGCAGTGCCTCGTGAATAATTTTAGCAGTTGCCGAGGGAAACTTTACAACGCGCAGCCCAAGTCCTTAGATGCACACTCTGAAATCTTGAGGAAGCAAATCGGTGCTGGAAAGGGAAATGATAATGAGCTCACATCAGAATTTTATTTATAGAAATGACTTGGAAGCAGCTGGATCTCCTCCTTGGGTACATTTTCTTTCCTTTTTGTTTCCCAGTATTTCTGTTCGTTTGGGACCACAAACTCTCCCATAAATATTGGCAATAAATGCTTGCTGAGAAACTCTCCCTACCTGCTGGAGAAAAGATCTCCTCATTTTATCCAAGTGGAATGCCTAGATACTGCAACTAGACAATCAGACTTTTATCCTTACACATATACAGTAACGTTCTTTATTAGCATTTGTGAATTGTGATTCATGACACACATGATTCCAGTGCTTCTGCTGAGTTCAGTGGCCTTTGGACCAGGGCCTGTATTTGCTTCATTTCCCCATATTTTTAGCTGCTTCAGTAATTACTTTACCTAGAGAAGGGTCTGAAAAATAGATATATTTTTAATATACATATATGATATTCTATTTACTGTTTTATAATGTATAATCAGTAGTTTCTCTGGAGTGCAAAAGCTTTTTGGAGATACACTTGAATCAGTAAAAGGAAGGGTGACTGCACTGTTGTACTGCTGCACCACAATATTTAAATGCTTTATTATTTCATAATCTGTCCTAGAATTTAATCATTCCAAGCTGGGATGGTCTCTTTATGTCAAAAGGGATAAGTCCCAGATTTACAAATATGCATGTATGAAAAAACCCATGAAGATGTGGCTTCATTTCCACTGTGATCCCAGCTTGCCAAAGGCTCCATTTCATTGCATAACCCTCCGGATGCAGATCCATTACTGTACTGTAAAGTGGGTTACTGGACAGGGTAAGGCAATTCATCTTCTGAAATGCAGAGTCTTGTTTTGCCAGTTATGGAGTTTATAATTATCCATTATCATTATCTCCATAGTTATTTTTACCAAGGTTACAGATAGGTCTATTTGAAAGGTATTCAGTTGGGTTCTCTGGGAGGTTCATCCTTCTCCTGTAGAGGTAAATGAGCAGTGCACAAAGCACAGCCAAGTGAGTTCAAAAGGCATAAAACTGGTGACAAAGAGAACAGATTAAGTCCCAAATTGCACACTTAAGAAACTGAAAACTAAAATTGTTTTGCTTATGGAAGCCAGTCTCTGCCAGGAAAAACTGGGAATAGTGATAGCTGCATTTTTTTTAAGCACTTCTGAAGCCCCATGAATTATAAATCATCAAACCCACAATCCTGGGACAAAGTCTCTTAAAATCATGTCCTGGGACAGCAGAGTTCTCCATTCTATTCCTGGCTCCATCACTGACCACCTGCCACTTGTCCTCTGCCTTGCTTGAGTTTACCCACGTGTAAAATGCACTTAAAATAATCTAAACCAGACTTTGAAAATTACTTTGAAAATTACTTCAGTGCCACAGGCTAGAAATTTGGGGTTGTAACATGGAAAAAAATCGTTCTGTGGTTGCTGGTCCATAGAAAGCCTGCGTGTCTCTCTGGCTGCACGACGGGGGAGGCTAAATCTGGCTGCCAGGGCTCCACCCTGCACTCGAGAGGCAGCACAATCCCACATGAAGCGTGCTTGGTGCCTGCCCACCTGCACTACACGCAGTTGTTAACTTGGCTAATTAGCTTACTATGCACAACAAGAATCTGATCCAACACTGACTGCAATTAATAAGTAGACTTCAGTGACTTAATGATCTTGGGCTCGGGTCTTCATGGGCAAGCAGAGATCCTTGCTCAGAGATCCCGAAAATCGCTGGGAAGGAAAGGCTTTGTGTGAGTGACACATAGACACATCTCTGTGCAATGAGCCTGGCAGGAGCTGGGCACACAGTAAATCTGTCTCTGCCTGTACAGTAGCACTATTCACTGATGCTGCTCTTTATTCACAAATAAATACAGAACTACAGTCACAATTTTTCATAGGCCCTTTTGCACGTGGCTTTAGAAGAGCCTTAAAGTGGGAAATTGATGATGAGCTATGCAGGAGAGCTTCGCATGAGATTTGTTAGGAAAGGTGACTTGATAAAGGTGGTGACAGGCTAATAATGAAATGGAACATTGCAATTAAATGTGCTGGTGGGGAAGAAAGTGTGCCACAGCCAAGAGGATGAGCAGCAGGCAGGTCAGGGAGAGAATGCAGCAGAGGTTTGAAGGATGAGGGTGGGAAGGAGGGGGAGATATAAGAACAAGAAAGACAGGACAGAGATAAGCACTGTTAGCTGTGATAGCAGTATGGGGCAGAAACTCCTTTGGTGTTTGTATCAGGCCTTGCAAAAAGGGAACCCTGTCCCTGACCACAATTTGTTGACATTGACACAATGTGTAATTAAATGCAGATAGTCCTAGAAGGACAGAAATGGGGGAGGGAAACAAATTAACAGCAAAACAAAAATATCTACATAATGTTTTGCTTATATAAGAGCTGAAAAGTATGTAAAATGACTGAGAATATTTAAGAATTCTATTTCTCCAAAATGAGTTTCCATTAGAAACAGTCCAGGATGTTTTAATGGTTATGAACTTAAACCCTGCAAAGTGAGCTATCCATACATCAGGACAGAGATTTTGCTCAGTATACAGGCAGCTGTAACAATACTCTTAGAAGTAGGAACAGACCCATTAATCTTGGATGTTAACGCTGAAGCCTAAAATTTATGCCTACCTGAAAAATGAGCAAGAGCAGAGAGCACAGAACAGTTTGCATATCAAAAATTACTAACACTAGCCAGAAGATGGAGTTCAGCATTGCTATTTATTTGAAAAGCATTTCCAGAATTAAAATATATTGGAAATTGATTTAGAAAAGTCTCTACCAGCACACCAGATAATTTAAGGACACCGAGCATCCTGCTGTAGTGAATAGTGACATTCTAGGTTCTTGGTCTCTCACTTACCCCACTGTGTACTGTCTGGAGAGACAAGTTCTTTATGGGTGTGGCTAGAAATGCATTTCACGTAGAAACACAAGGAATGGGAACGTTCTCATAGTCCCTGACACATTCCTCACTTGGTTTGCTGCCTGTTGAGAAAAAAACAAGACAGCTCCCAAACATCAACCCTGGCAGCGCAGAGCTGTGCCTGCATGTGCAGGCTTGCACATGGGTGCTGCTGCCCGGGTAGACACCAACTAGTGCCAGTCACGTTTCCTACATGGGGGGTACGAGGAGCAGCATTTCTGCTATAAACAATCTAATTAATAAAAGCGTGTGGGGAAAATCAATGTTATTTTATACTTTTTGGCTTTTGCATTCTCCTATTTGGTCAGATTTTCAAAGGGATGAGGTAAACCGAGAGAGTAGGTCTGAACATATCTGAGTATTAACTGTTCAGTTTTGATAAATTCACAGTAATTACAAATTCAGAATTTCATATGAATTTTATGTCTTTCATAACTAGCCACATCTAAACCCTTAAGCTAAACATCCAGAACTGAGGTAAGACTGAATTCAAGCTCAAAATTGTATGGTTGGAACCTATCCCTAATCAGCACTTTGGTATAAAATTTGGAAACTCAGGGTTGTAATGGACAAGGTACCAGAAAAGTAGTATTTATTTCAGTGTGGGCACAGGCAGGACTCGTTCTGTTGCGCTCAGCAACATCTTGACACGCTGCACTAATCTTAGCTGCACGCTCTTAAAAGATTATTTTTGTCTCGGGTTCTTTTTCTAGTCTTTGATGCAACAGCCTGCTGCGGGTTACATCAAGCCTGCAGAAAATCCCTCGGTTTTCTCATCCCTTGTTTTCCAGACAGCCGGCACCTCCTCCGGGTCCAGGCGACGGGCGCCGCAGGTGAGCCAAATCCCGGCCTATCTGGGCCGGAGATTAATTTCGGTTTAAATTAAAGATGCTGTCTAGATTAAAAGGCTGACGTGGGGGGAGGCACAGTCGAGCCCGTAGTCTGTGCGCTGCGTTTTAGGCGCTTTCGCTTAGATAGCCCCGCTCCCCCCTTCATGGCTCGGAGCCGCCGGCGCCGCGTTCCGTGAGGGGAAAGGCGGGAGCGGAGGGGCCGCGTTCCGTGAGGGGGAAGGCGGGAGCGGAGGGGCCGCGTTCCGTGAGGGGGAGCGCTCAGAAGGGACCCGGTGGGCGGCGGGGCACGGCCGGTCCCCCCTCAGGAGCCGCGGGTCCCGGCGAGAGCCGTCCCGCGCCCGCCCCGCCGCGATCACGGGTCGCCGCCCGCCTCCCCCGCCCCGTGACAGCCAAGATGGCGGCGGAGGGGAGGGGGGATCCCGCCTGAGCCGCCCACACGGCGGGAGGCGGCGGGGGCGAGCCGGGCTCCGCTGGGATGAGATAAGGGCGCGGGCACCGAGCGCGCTGCCCCCCGAACCCCTTCACCACCCGCTCCTCGCCCTGGGGAGCGCGGCACCCGTCTGAGGTGAGCGCGGCGGGGCTGTCACCGCCGCGGGGCGCGGACCGGGGGGATTCTCCGAGGCGATGCCGCGGGTCGGGCGCTGCCGCGTTCCGGGGCCGGCGGGGAAGGGGCGCGGGGCTGTCAGCGGGGGCGGGAAGGCCGGCGCTGGCGGGCCGGGGGCTGAAGCGGCGCGGGGGCGGCGGTAACTTTCCGCTGGGCCGCGGTGGGAGGGGGAAAACTTTCTCCTTTCTCCTTGTACCCGTCGGCTCTAGGCTCCCGCCAGCCCCCGCCGGGCCCGAGGGGCTCCCCGGGCCGCGGGGCCGGCCGAGCCCTCGCCGCCGACCTGCCATGTTGTACGGGCTGCACGCCGGCGGGCCGGGGTGTGTGCGTGTCCCCGAATCCGCGGGTGTGCGTGCCTTCCCCAAACCCTGTGTGTGTGTGCGTGTCCCCGATTCCGCGGGTGTGTGCGCCTTCCCCAAACCCTGTGTGTGCGTGTCCCTGAATTCGCGGGCGTGTGCGCCTTCCCCAAACCCTGTGTGTGCGTGTCCCCGAATCCGCGGGCGTGTGTGCAGTCCCCAAGCCGGGTCTGTGCGCTCCCCCAAGCCCGTGTGTGCGCGTTGCCCCGATCCGCGTGTGTGTGCTGCGTGTCCCCAGAGCCATGTGCGGGTTTTCCGCGCAGCCCCGCTGCGTCAGCCGGAATTGCCCGGCGCTGCTCAGCCCCACGGTGCGTGTTTCTGTCCCGGCTTTCCCTTCGGCAGCCTGGGTTACCCTATACCTGGCTTGATGCAACGCGCTGGAAGCGGCTGTAGAAATCAGCCCTGGCATTTTTATCGTCGTTCTGTCATGAGGTCTGCGTGTGGCACAAGTTGCTGGCCAGGGAATGATGGCATTCAGTAACTTCCCAGTGATGGTTGCTATTCCGAAGTTATTCCAAACAGGCTGCGTTTAAAAATGTGCCGCTTCTACTTTGCTGAAAATGAGGTCTTGACTTTCTGCCTAGTACTGAAACTTAATTTCTTTGAATTAACTTGAGTGGAAGTATGGTGTTCTGGGCAGTTTTTTACTTCATTTCACAATTTTTTCTGGAACTGTTGCTCAACTGGAGGTTTCCGTAAAAAGTGTTACATTACAGTACATAATATTTCACTTTTTGAATGATTAAACACAAATATGTTATCTTGGCAAGTGTCTGGTAGTTTAGGGGTACTAATTGAGTTAGTCTAGCCAAGAAAGGTCAAGGGAGAGTAAATGGATTATTTCTGGTTTGTGTGTCTAGCATGCAAGTCTTACTTTGTAAGAGTCTCTTGCTTTTCTCATCTTTTTTAAAAAAAGTCTTATATTTACAGTACTGCAGAAACTTCATCTAGCTTTTAGAGTATTGAGGAGTCTGTAAGTTTATTTAAAGTGAGCATTAAAGTGGAGCTCTGGTAAAGGGAGCTGTTTTTTAGGGGCTATCATGACTTGGCATTGAAATAGTTTAATTATCAAAAACAGAGCATTAGAGTTCCTGTGGTTAGCTTCAGGAAGGGGAAAATTGAATGGAACCTTAAAGACAGAGCAAAAAAGATTAAGCTTCTCTTAAGAGCTTCTGTGATGTACATGTTTTACTTGTGGAAATGTTGTGCTCCAGCTGGATGAATACTTTCCTGAAGTTTGAGTGGCTTCTGCTCCTTTGGAACAGGCTTTACCCAATAGCCTTCTCTAAAATGTGAATTTATTAGAAAACAGCACAAAATAGAAGATCTGCTTCTGCAAGTAGTAAGACAAAAAGCACCAGGACTATTTTCTTTAAACAGGGACTTATTTAAAAATATTTTCCCAGTATTTGAGATTTTCATACCTCTGAGTATTGATATTTTTTGTAGCCATATGCTTGCAGGTTTATGTTTCAGCTCATTCTGTATGACATAACCCCAGTATGGTGCTTAATGGAATTACTATATGTGTTAATGGCAATATTAGCAGTTATCTAGTTAATATAGCCAGAGTTAATTATTAGTTAGAAAAAACACAAATATTGACATAGCCTGGCACACACTACAGGGCTCAGGTGCACGCAGCTGATGCAGGTCAAGCCTTAGAAACAATGTCAATAACCTGCTTCTATTTCAAATATGTGCTTGAAAGGGAAAGTAGAAAGGTGGGGAGTGAAGGCAGCTGGTCCCTGAGGGGCTGAGGTTGTAACTAATCCAGCTGCTCTGTGTGACTGACAGAGCTGAGGCACCACCGTGCCAGCAGCCAGCCCGTCAGTGGTTAATCTGCAGCATTTTGCATTGAGGGTTTACTAATTTCTAGGTTAATTCCTGCTGTAGTGTGTGATAGCTGGAGAAAACTGTCTTGTGACTCTTCAGGGAGGAAGACAATTCCTCAACCAAGCTGAAGGATAATGGGGTTCGGTAACCTTGAGGTTTTAATACAAGAAGAAGAAATTTGCAGCGTCACTTAAATATTCAACATCCTTTTTTATTTCCATCATGCTCCCTAGCAGCTGAGTTGCTGTTAGTTTTGCAAGTCATAGTAGGTTGAAATGCTTTTTATAACTCTGGCTGCAGAAACATTTGTGCTTCCTGGCCAAACACAGGCAGGTTGGAATGGGAATAGCACAATAAGTACTTAGTCAAAAGCTTGCTCAATCTTAAATTTATCTCCTGAAGTGAAGACTTGCAGGAAGCCTTTGTTCCGTTTTTTGTCCTTTCCTCAACTTTGACCTGAGTCTTTAAATACAGTGTTGATATGACCAGAAATTTGGAGGCCAAATGTTGCCCAGTTGCTGTTGGATTAAAAAATAAAAAGTCAATATAGCTTTGTAATGTTGTTGAAATTTATGTTTGGTGGTTTCCAGCGATGTTGCTGTGTGACAGGGTTCCAGTGGTAAAGGTTTTGGTACACGTGTTGCTGTAAAACTCAGGTATTTTTTCTGAAGTTTCCTGGAAAGAACTGTAATACTGAATAATACTAAAAATGAAAGGAGCAAAAAAAAAAAAAAAGGCGCTAAAATAATTTCTATATGAGTGCCTTAACAAAGCATGATGCAATTTGTGATGATTGGTGTATTTCCAGTATGTTTATCTTGCTTGTTGCAGTGTTTTAATCAGTTTCTCTGGGATGTATTCAAACTTCAAACTTTTGTTAAGCTGACTCATAACAAAGCCAAACAAAAAAAAAAAACCCAAAATCCAAATCAGGCTGTTCCCTCCTCACTTTGCAATCCCCCTCCAAACCCAAACCTGTAAAAATGTAGGACCCTTGGAGAAAGCTGAGGTTGAGCTTGCCCCCATGCAGGTGTGCTGGGCTCAGGTTCCTGTCCCTTGTCCTTCTGCTGTGGCTGCACTGGCTGCTGACAAGAGCACAGAAAATGCCCTTGGTCTGCTCACTTATACATCAGTTCTGTATGGCAATAATATCTGCTACTGCAGACACAAATTGTGGTGGAATTTTTTGCCATACTAAGAGCAGCAAATCCTGTGGAAGCTAAAGCCAGCTATGCCTTGTTTTAATTGATGGCAGCCAACAGGTAGGGGATGAATATGTGTAAGCTGTGAAGGCATCACTGCTGTTCAGCTGTTGTTACAAATCAGCTGTTTCTAGCACTGCTACTGACCAATTAATTACTCAAAATGAATGAGGCTCTTTGCTGTATGCCATAATAATAATAATAATAATAATAATAATAATAATAATAATAATAATAATAATCCTTGGATGTTTTCTGCTGTCCTTCAGTTGGGGTTTAGTCTACCTGGTTTGAAAGTTTGGTCTGTGGCTGCTCTGGAAATAGGCTGCTGATACTTATGGAGTGCTCCCACAGACTCCAGAGTCAAAATTAAACCATGCAGGGCAGTGATGCCCAGAGGTTTGATCTATAACACTCATTTCAGTAGCAGTGTGTGATGCAGAACTAGTCACTGGTAGTTCCCTAAAGAGCTCAGAAACAGTGCCAGGAGGAAATCGAGAAGTGGAAATGAAAGACTTCAGAAAGTGTTGGCTGGCTTGACTATTTTAAATGGTGTATTTTTACCTTTTCAATATATTAGATGTAAAATATATTGCATTATCTAATACATATATGAAAAATGTCCATGTGTCTAATGGGTATATTAGATAATGGTTACTGTGGAGGCTGATACAGAGTGAACTAAGTAATAATGGCAGGGGAGTGAAAGGTGGAGGAACTGTGGTCTAAAAATGGGATGAGAAGAATAAGGAGCGTGTTAAAAGTTAGCCAGTTATAGCCTCCCTGTTTAATATTTACCATAAATCTTGAATTTTAAAAATCTGGGTCAGGGAAATCATTATTACTAATTAATAAAGTTATTTCAGTTTGGCCATCTGAAATGAAAGTGAGCAGGCAATAAGTGTGATGTGTAAGTACATGTATGTAAATAAATAAAGTCCCAGGAGATGCCTTCACCTTGTGTGCAAGCTTTATGCAAACACAGAGAAGGGGTTTGTGGGCTGGACTCTTGAATTTTGGCTTTGACTTGAGCTTTAGAAGAAACCTGTGGGCCTGAGGAATTATTCTCAAAATTCCTAACTTCAAGATCAGGATCAGCAGTAGTTACCTTGGCGTGTCATTGCTCCTCAGCTAATTTATGGTGATTTTCTGGAGGAGACTCTAATGTTGTTTTTTATTGCTTAGCTGGCTGGGAAACTGTCCCAGCAATAGGTGGTAATTGATTGATGTATCTGCAGCTGAGCTGGTAGTGGTATTTCCACACTTATTTTTCTGTGGAATAGATGCTGAACATTTTGGTAAGTGGATGTAGGGATTTGCTGGTGGGAGAGGTTTTAGTGAGTGTTATCCCTCCATTCAACCTTTCCAGGGGGCTGTAGATGATCTGCAGGCAGCACTTGCACTCTGTCCATGGCTGGCCCTGCCTAGAATTTGCAGTGTGGTTGGCTCCCATTTTCTCATGTTACAGAACATTTTTGCTGGCCAAAGGAAAAAAAAAATTAAGTCTCTAAGTTGTTTTTAAGTGTTGCAAAAAGTGTTAGAAACAATCCCCACCTGTCTTTTCTTCTATCACATCATGAATACAAAATTTAATTTGGATAGAGAACGGTTTCAAAACAAAACTGAGGTGGGCATGTGTGTCCAAATGTGGCAGGGTGAAAGCAGGTCACTTCTGTCACTCTTGGTTGATGGGCTTTGACATTTTCAGTGTCAGGTTTTGGGTTTGAAGCTCAATATTGGAAGACTTTCTATTTTCATTTCCCTTTATCTGCCGTGTCAAGAAAAATAAAACATTTTGTTTGGGGAACTTCTTTTATGAAGTTGTTGTATAGTAAATAGTTATACAAAAACATGAACAAGCTGCTCTGCTGAACTGTGCTTTGGATGAAGTAATATTTACATTTTTAGAGTGCTTATTTTGGCTGTCCTCCCCTTGATTTTCTACAATTTGTTTTCTGCATCCCTCCCTACAAACACAGTTGTATTTCAGAAATCTTTTCCATTCTTTGGTGATGTCTTTTGGCCATAAATACTGTAATCTAGAAAGAAAAGTGGGAGTTGTCAAACTGGCCCTACTGAGATTTGTCTCTGTCATGAATCTTGTGGGATACTGGAACATCCCTTTCCTGAATTTTTGTAGGCAGGATTGAATTTCACAGGATTTTTCTGTGGCACAACTGGAATGATTGTTAGACCCTCTTAGTAAATGCTTTGATTTGATTGAGATTACAAACAGCACTGAAAAACAGAGTGTTTGGTGAGTGAGGGAGAAATGTGTAGGAGATGTGGGACATGCCAGATCTCACCTCAGGGTGAATGAAGTCTGTTCCTTGCTACCTTCTCCCTGCCCTCCTGTGAGCTTTGGTGCTGTGGGTGTCCAGTTCCTGCTCTCTTTGCAGTTCTCATCCTCCTCAATCTAGATTAGCCTCTGAATTTAGGCCTGATCTTTCTTTCTTCCTCAGCACTGCTGAGCAAGTCTGCTTGTCCCTCAGCTCTTGGCTCCATTCCTGTTTTCTTCTCCCAAATTCACGGTTTTTTGTTTTGTCCCTGTGTTTTTACCTAGCACTTTGCTGTTTCCCGGCACCTCTTAGAGATCCTTTGTTGCCAAGTTTTCTGAGCTCTCTTGATTATCTCCTCAGCTGTTGGATCAGAGATGTAAACCACGACTTGGTGCAGATGATTGTGAATGGGCCTGCAAAACACTTGGTAGCATTTCCAGTCCGGTGATGCAGGGCAGAAAAATCTTAGGTTTTCTCTTGGGTTATTGTGGATTTTCTTCTCTTCTAATAAAAATTGATGCAGTGTCAAAGGGAGTTTAGTGGAGACTGGTGGCTTCCTGAGAATTATTGTATTGTCTAACATCACTGAGTGCAGATGTGTGCAGTAGGGTCTAAAAAGTAATGCCATTTATCACTTTACCCCTGTTTTCTCTGTTGCTGTTTTTTGTGTAACCGTAGTAGGAAATGGGAAGAAGAAGTACAGACATTGTCCTACTAAAAATGAAAATGCTGTGAGAAGTTCTGTTTGTATTTGGGTAATGATGTAAGTCCTTTGCATTCTTGTTTCTTAAAGAAGTAGATCCTTTACTTGATATGCAGAGGACAGGAAACTGGTTGTAAATAAGTTCTGCAAGTAATACAAAATAGACCTGCAAGTACCCTGGCAGCAGTTCTGGCTGTGTTCCTTGTGATGCCTAAATCTATATTTTTTGCTTTCATTTAAGTCCCCTCACTGGTTTTCCAGAGAGCTGACTAGAGAAGAAGTTTTTTGAAGTGTCCATGGGGAAATTAATCATGTGTTAGTGCTGCCTGCTTCTTGGACTTTTTTCAG